CCTAGATCAAAGCTTCTCAAAATATAATGTCAGACAGTATCAGAATCCTGTGGCCTGCTATTTTAAAAGGTAGATTCCTAGACCCCCTCTCATACCTAATAAATCTGATTATCTGAGGTGGGGCTTGAAGGTATGCATTTTTAAGTAGCTCTTTCAAAGTGATTAGTCCCTAAGCCAGTTTTAAGAAACACTAAGGGAAGAAACTTCCCAGAGGGAAGAAACTGCATTACTCATCTTTGTAAACCAAGCTCAGGGGATTCTAACAGCTGTTTAATGCATTCAGCAAAAGACCACACCTAAACTTGGGGGCAGGGTGGGGTGGAGGGTGGGAGGGTGTGTGCTGTCTAACATTGTGGAGCCGTCCTGTGAACATTTCACATATCTTGTCTAACTTAATCCTTTCAACCAATTTAAGAAACTGCCATCCCTTTTACAGATGAGAAAACTGAGGCTCAAATTCTTCAATTAAATGATAACAGTTCTGTTTCGTTCCAAAGCATGTTTTTTTTCCCCATGGTTCTAAGCTCTTCTATGTCTGAAATGGGAACTCGGGTTTTATTTTATTCCAGGTATTGAGAAAAAGGCTTAGATTTTGACTTAGGAATTCAAGAGTCATCATCCTTTTCACAATACTCTCTCTTTGCTTCTCCAGCACAAGACAGAATTCAGAACCTGGCCAGTGAAGGATGTCCTCAACATATGCTTACTGAGGGTCCCCAAAAGCAAGTGGACATGATCCGTCTTGTCTATTTCACCTGTGAAAACCTGAACAAATTTTGTTTAGACTAAACACAAAATACAAAACCAAAAATGGCCGAAACCGGTTTGGCTCAGTGGATAGAGTGTCGGCTTGTGGACTGAGGGGTCCCGGGTTCAAACCGGTCAAGGGCATGTACCTGGGTTTTGGGCACATCCCCAGTGGGGGATGTGCAGGAGGCAGCTGATGGATGTTTCTCTCTCATCGATGTTTCTGGCTCTCTATCTCTCTCCCTTCCTCTCTGTGGAAAATCAATAAAATATATTTTAAAAAAAAACAAAAATGAATAAACTTATTTCAAGACCTCTCAAATTACTTAAATTAACTTCTACAGATTGTGTTTTAAAAGCAATGTGAGGGCCTAACCGGTTTGACTCAGTGGATAGAGCGTCAGCCTGCAGACTGAAGGGTCCCAGGTTCAATTCCGGTCAAGGGCATTTACCTTGGTTGCGGACACATCCCCAGTATGAGGTGTGCATAGGGCAGCTGACTGATGTTTCTCTCTCTTCGATGTTTCTTCTCTCTAAAATCAATAAAATCACATTTAAAAAGATACACAGTTGCTGTGTTCCTGGCGGGGCCTGAGGTCCCCCACTTGCCCATGACTTTCCTGGCACAAGAACAGGCATATAGATAAATGGAATGGAACAGAGAACCCAGAAATTGATCCAAGTCATTATGCTCAATTAATATTTGACAAAAGAGGCAAGAGCATACAATGGAGTCAAGACAGGCTCTTCAATAAATGGTGTTGGGAAAACTGGACAGATACATGTAAAAAAATGAAACTAGACCACGAACTTACACATACACGAGAATAATCTTAAAATGGACAAAAGACTTAAATGTAAGTCATGAAACCATAAATATCCTAGAAGAAACCATAGACAGCAAAATCTCAGACATTTCTCGTAGCAATATGTTTGTTTTTTGGTGCCCTTGACCAGAATCGAACCTGGGACCTTTCAGTCCGCAGGCTGATGCTCTATCCACTGAGC